ACCATTTTCAGTTTACTGATTGTAGATACCCGGTATCTGTGGTCCCCGTAGCGTTAGTTAGCTCCAAAGCTAAAAGCTAAAAACAAGCCGGTAGTAGCCCCGGCAGGCTGTCCAGTCTGGGGAACGTTAAACTTAAAAGGTCTGCACTTGGGCTATGTTTTCATTTGGTCACAATAGTTGTGTACCACTTACCACAGGATCTAAGGTCAGCTGGTCAGTCCATCCAACACTTTACTCGACAGAAAGATATTCTGATAACAACCTGCATGATGTTCATTACAATTTGCTGTGGGTACTCCTTTTCACCAGAGGCTGACTTTTAGAGTTGGACAGGTAGCAATTAAATTTAGTGAGTACATTCATGATTACCTTATTTTTGTCACCATATGTTTTAGAAGTATCCTCTTGTGAACATGAATATATGTAGAAGATGTATGTGTTAGTTTTGTAGATAACTTATCATGAGCCACATTCTTGGTAAATAAGCTATGGTTCAGTGTAGAGAGGATCTTCCTGTAATCACAAGGTTGATGGCCGCACTGCTCCTAATAATTAGGATTGGTTAAATGTAGAGGTGAAATTTAATTAATGTGATGTATATACATTATAATTGTACAACTAAAATGAAGTTGTTTTACTTAAGAGGGTTTGACATGAAGGAGCTAAAAGGTCAGAGGAGCTACAACATATTAGGAAGCGTTGTGTATGAAGACCAAAATATCCATACAAAATCCCATTGTGTGTGTTGACTGACTGCCAAAGGGACAACTGACATTACCATCCCCACTGATCCCTGGGCAACAGTTACATGCCAAGACCTTAGCAACCAATGTGCCCTACGTAATGTTGGTGCAGGCTGTATCATCGTCAGTACCACCTATTCAATCAATGTTGATAGACCCCAGCAGTGGCAGCTGTTATCATCATCCCTGTCGCATTATGTCTATGTAACCCTGCTGTCGGGTGAAGAGGCCATCAACCACGTGGAAGTGATTTTCATCAAGTCTTGCTTTCACCTTCCTGGCCAGCTCTGATCCTGCTCTATAATTGTTGGAAAGGAGGGAGTGCGAGTGTTTCCTCCCCTTTTTCTCCCTCTATGGAGGAAGTCTGGGGGGGGGGGGGGTTCAGTTCACTGTACGTCCATCCTGCCACCCCCTGACTCACCCTGCCAGTCGGAAACCATAAACGTGTCAGTGGTCCAGAGCGAGGTCTACTGAGGGAAGCATCACCGTACCCCCTTCATGCCCTCTGCCAGCCCTTCCTAAATCATTCAGTTAGGACAGTAGCAGTGAATGACATTTCCCATAGGTCCAGAGGACATAGAGGTAACATCAAGGCCGTACTAAGCACTAAGTACTTACTATCATATCCAGTCTTACTGTAGTTTCAGCCACACAGGATTTGATCGTGCAGTGTGTGCAGAGAATCTGTGGAATATATTGTGTAATTTCTGATAACTAAGTACAAAGCAAGGAACATGTCTTCCGCAATCTCGGAACCCATCGGCTATCGATCTGATGATGGATAAGCCTCTTGGGGGAAATGCTATATTTCTGGGGTTCTGGTGTCGCCAGCAGATATCAACGTCAAGACTCCCTTTTCTGTGTCCTGTTCATTGTTTACAGTCCGATAAGCAACTTGAGATAAAAGACTGGTTTTGGAGTTGAAAGACATGTATGACCGGATTGTTCCACAAGTAGCCAGTTTAGAAGCTAATTTTAAACCTATCCAAAGCTTTCAGCCAATGCGCTCCACCCCTTTTGATCCTCACAAGGACTGTTTACCTGTGTTCAACCAAAGCCTGCTAGAGTGTTATTGGTCAATACTACTTGGACTACAGATGGAAAGCAGAACGCTTCTGATGCCAAAATCTTTGACAAGTCTTTGGATTCTAGATGTGAATGCAGAATCTGTCCATAGAGATTATGTTGTCTGCAGTGGGCCTTTACAGGCTGCAGTTCATTGACTGCAGTCCACTTTTGCTGCTGGATGCTATATACTAACGTTACAACCAAAATCTTCTTCACTTCCCTGGAGTCAACAAGTGATAAGCGGTTCTCGAGACCTCTGCAAGCAGCATTTCCAGGGGCCAACCTATCGCCCCATTCCAAACGAATAGTTTGCATGTAGGGTCCAGAAATTCTATCTCTTTCTTTGGCAATTTTAATGTACATGATGGGGGACAAAATCCTTTAGACAGACTTTATAAAATGTGAACCTATCCTTTCTTGTTATAATCCATGGTAACATTGTTTACATTGCTCAAACCATGATGGGAACTAAATGGGCACAAATTGTAAGTGACATAATAATGAAAATTAGCTTTTTGTTTGTTTTAAATTTGACAGTAATCAAAATGTCCCATCAACACTGGTACAAACTGATTAAGTGTTCCAGGGAACATATCACATAGAGAGTTCTGGTGTGCAACATTCACACACCAAATGCTCAAGATGAGTAGCCTAATTAATTAATTAAAATAATATAATAAAGCAGATAAGAATGCCATAAGCCTGTAAATAAGAATATTGGAAACTGAGACAGAACAGACTGGTTCAGGGTAAAAACACACTAACAACCCCTCCCATGATCACACGTCAGGTCACGACCACTGTTGCCCATCAGCAACCTTGGAGCCTGCAGACCTACACAGAGCAACATGTTTGTCCTACCAGTGTCCGGTAGCAGAGCTATTTGATCCCTACTGTCTCTGTACTGTAGTTAAGTTCTGTAATGTTGCCAGCAGACTGAGGACAGGAGGCCATGGAGGAGAAGTAGAGTCCTTTCTGCTTAAATCACAACAAGCCTTATGTCACGTACACCATCCACTGCCATCTTCAGCTGGCCAGCTGTGTGTGTGTGTGTGTGTGTTTGTCCCTGGCTTCTCAGGGAGTTGATGACAGACTGATGAGTTCCTGGCTATTATAAAAATGGTGAGCAACAGGCCAACCATCCGCTCAGCTCTCCTCCTTCCCTTGGACCAGCAGCCTTCTTCCTGCATGCATACACACACACATGCACGCACACACCTTTGTTTATATTTGTACTCTCATTTCAGAATATAAGTGCACTATCAAAAGTGAAACAAGATCAACCATAGACAACCTATTCTTAAAGTCTGTAAGTCCACTTAACCAAGCTTCAATTGTGTTATTACTAAAGAAAAATAAGTTAGTGCTGTCAGTAGAACTACAGATTCTACCCAAATGATTGGCTGTGTGTTTGGAACCTGTCCATCCCACTATCATCTCAGCAGATCAGACGAGGTTCATCCAAAACAAGCATGCCTTTTTCAATGTAAGATGTTTCCTCAATGTGTTATACAGTGTATCCTCCTCAAATGCAGCAGAAGCCGTGACTTTGAATGATGCAGAAAAGGTCTTTGAGTTCAGGTTTAGCAAGAAATTGGTTGCCTGGATAAAACTCCTTCATGCATCCCCCACAGGACTATCTTTAACTCTCTCCCAAAATGTTCTCTATTACCGATTCCAGGGTCTACCCAGAACCCCTCCTCTTTTTTTCATAAAAAAAGAGGAGGATTGTCTTTGCCTAAATCCTTGGAGGATTGTCTTTGCCTAAATCGAAATTGGTCTCATGTGGATGACTGCAAATGCTTCTTCGGCTAGACCTGCCTCTATAATAGCTCTTATTTACATCCCTATACATTTTTCTGTTTTTCCCTACTTCAAAAATGTTACTTAAATCAACACTCAACATCTAGAATCAGTTCAGATGCCATTTTGGTTTGCAAACTGGCTCCTTCCTGACCCCAATACCTTCTTCTCGTGGTCTTGCCTCTGTATTAGTACCGAAAAAGGATCTATACATAAACAATACTTTTGCATCTTTTCAACAGCTCTCTGAGAAATACCTTCTTCCCAATCAACATTTCATCAGGTACCTAAAATATGTGGCTTTGTCTGTAATAACTTTCCTACATTTCCCAACCTTCCAGAGGCTGCACCCATTGAATGACATTATAATCCAGATGAGACGTGGAGCAAAATCTTAAACCTTGCCCATGCTTCATCTCTCTGTGTGAGGCACAAGCTGATCCAGTGTAAAGTCCTTCCACAGTCAGGACGGCTAGAATCTATGGTAATGTTGAGCCTACTTGTGACATGTCATTCGGCCCCTGCCACATACAGTCATCTGTTTTGGTCTACTTCTAGGAGTTATCTTTAATCATGGTGCTTGGAAATGCTTTTGGCCTGACTGATTGTTGTTGTTGGTTAATAAAACGTTACTCAGGGCATACAGTAACATTTATACCTTTCCTTTTAGAACAAGTATATTGTTTTTGTGTGTTTTTACACTGTAAATTGCATAATAAAAACTGCTGCTTACATTAGAGAACCCAGAATAAACGAGTATAGAATGAGTGTAGATGCTTCCACACAGATTATGAGGACTCACTGAATGGTTTGGTGAGTAAGGATGTGAATCATATACTATGGCCTTCAGTCACCAGATCTCAGCCCAACAGAACACCTATGGGAGATTTTGGAGACATGTCTTAGACAACGCTCTCCACCACCATCATCAAAATACCAAATGAGGGAATATCTTTTGGAGGAATGCTGTTTGTCCCTCCAGTAGAGTTCCGCACATCTGCAACAAGGAACACCAAAAAAAAAAGCTGTACTCTGCCCTATGAAACCAAAATTGAAAAAAACAACTGCAACCATAGGAATAAACTCCTCTGCAACAGTAGGCCAATGCCGTTCAATGACTATGCGTCTAAACCTTAATAAATTGACTCCTGAACCTGAATAGTTAAATGCATTCAGATATTAACGACTTTTAGAACATCAGCAAGATGTGCTTGATTTTCTGACTCCTCTGCAGGAAAGTCCAAGATTCTTGACTGGTGGAATGTATGAAAATAGCAAAACACAAGGTTTGTCCAAAATCACTTCCTCATTCACTGCTTCACTATTCCCTCCATAAAAGGCACTCATTATACCTAGCAGTACATTGAGAAAAGTATCACAAACTTTCATTTTAACATCTATCAAATATAAACACTGACATGAAATGGTAGAAAGTAAGTGTGTGCATGGTAGCAAAAATGGCTGTAATTTCAGACCCATCGATTATAAGTATATCAATGAAGAAAATAAGTCTTTCTTAAACTTCAGACTTCCAGTGTCCGGTTTCACATGTAGCTCGTATTCCATGAGTTAAATGTAGTGGCATGGTGCTATGGCAGTGATGGTGTGTCAGACTCAAATATTCAATCAGTTCAATATTTGCTGTGATATTGTGAACTTTGACCTTTCATCTGGTCATCCGGACTTTTCAATACTTTGGTTTATGACCAAATTCCTGCAAAACTAAGGGCATTTCCATTAGCCTCAGCTGTAATTGGTGCTAATTAGCAACAATTTGCAACCAACACAGTGAACATGGTAAACATTACACCTGCTAAACATCAATATGCTAGCATTATCATCGTAAGCATGTTAGCATGCTAATGTGAGCATTTAGCTCAAATACAGCCTCACAGGGCCTGAAGCATGATAAATGAATGTACTTAAATATAAAAAAACAAGCTACAATAAGCACCTCGTCGTCTAGTAATATTAGTTCATATATGGCTTCTGTATTTGTTCCTCGTGTTCCTTTAAATTATTTCAATTTAATCTAAAGTTAAAAAGTGTAGAAAAATATTTATCAAAACACATTTTGATAAACTTCAACACTTGGGCAGGAGGAGGTGGGCATCAAACCGCCAACCCTTGTGATCATCCTCATCATCACGATCATGATCACCAACACAGTCTCACTGCAGTTCATGAAATATTCTCCAAATGCAATCTATTGGTTTCGTTTACAGGGACATGAATCGTTAATTATTTTTGTCACTTGGCACGACTTCTTGTTTTGTCAGTAGCGACGACATTCAGCAACAAAACGAAATTTAGGGTTAGGCGACGAAACCACCGCGGTGTCTGTTTCATTCCTGTCCGCCATGAAAAGGGATCCAAATGGACTTTCCATTGCCTTCATGAAACAATGGACGAAATGCAAAACTAATAAATGACTTCCTGTGACTATGTCATGAACTGTCATGTGACTGGACTGTGAAAACAGTGGGCAGTACACTGATTTACATGTAGTCTAATGACCACCCTACCTTTCACTCAGACAAACTGAGACAAACAGCCAACCACTTACAGTAAAATATTTTATTTAGAAATGATTATTTGTTTTGAAAATAAGTTTAAGAAATCCAGTGATATATGTAAATAATCAATAATCAGGTTAAAGTGCAAAAATACATTTTTGATATAATGCATCTGTACAAAAATAACATTGGGGTGCGATATTGAAAAGGAGGAAAATGTATTAACATGGCTTTGATCATTCTATGTTGTAAAAAAATAATAATTGCATAACAGTTGTGTCCCTTTTTAAAAAGTTTTTGGATTATAAGCTTCTGAGCAAAGTATTTCACTGAGCAGCCACAAGTGTTTTTTTCATTTCACATTCCACACATCCATTGCCAAGTCAAGCTTTGATAACTAAGCATCCACTTCTCCACTAAGGCTTACAGTATCTCTGCATTATTCCTTTAAGAGCTGGCTGGTGAAATAGTTCATCGTTGAGGAGTATTCCCACAGAAGCAGAGCACTCTACCTCCAACAGCTGAGATGAATAAGTCTTTGGTTGTTCTTTGACTGTTGTGGTCTTTGGTCGTGTTTTTCCAGTGTCCCCGTCCCTTCCCTGCTGGCAGAGTGAATCACTTGATCTTGGCTGGCTTCAGTTCCTTGACCTGCATGTGTAATGTTTTGTGGACAGCCAGAGTCCTGGACTGACAGAAGCCCTTCCCACACTCCTGACATTTGAAGGGCTTTTCTTTGGAATGAATGTACCTGCAGGGTGGACACACAGAACAGCCAGTTAGTATTTAAGAAGAATCATGTCAGATTTCAGAACATCATCATTACCACTGACACAGGCTACACGTCCCCTTCAATATGTAGTATTAGGGCCACTGTTAGAACAAAGGCCCTCTAGGATGCTTTCCACTGAAAAGCTCGGGGAAGCCGATGTGAACCGCACTTTGTTGGAGGCGGTGAAGTTACATTTGTGTGGACGGTAAGCCACACAACGGTGAGATTCATGCACTGATCTGAAGGGTTTTTTGTAAGTTTTGGTTTCAGCCACTACTCTAAACTTTGCTTCATCCAGAGAGAGTCCTAAACAGGGTCATGACTTTATTCCTGAAATCTCAGAGGACACAGGTATATGGGATGTGTTTATGTGCAGAAAGTAACATAGCCTTTATTGTTTATCTTGTTATTTGTTTAGGCTGCTCACATTCTTTTTGGTTACAATCCCTTCCGGTAATGTGCAGGTGTGTGGTTTCACTATGTTTACCTGTTCACTTAAACGGCTGGATTCAGACGAAGAGGGGCAGCACAGCTCTGATTTTCTTTTTTCTGTTCCTATTTTATTGATTCCACTACAGTTATTGCTTGTAACTCTTTGTTTAATTAACAGCATAAAACGTATCTGGACTTATGTATGGAACAGCCTACTTATTAACAGCTCGTAAAATTGATAGTAGTCGCTACATTAAGTCAACAGAGAAACTGCTTTGGAATGTGATGTTTGTCTGTGTATGCTACTCCTGGACAACAGCAGATGGATAGATAGAGTCTCTCCCGATGAACCCCCCATTTGGACCCTTTTGGAGTGAAGCGTGGAAGGAGCGTTGTGGTGTTATTTTCACATGTTTAGCTGTAAGAGCTATTGTGGCATCATCACTTTACACAGACTCTTTCATCGATGCCAGACGAGTTAGAGGGAAAGAACTACGGTGTGACAATGTATTCAAATTATAAATTTGGTTATTTTTGCGATCGTAGAAAACACACGACCTGAAGTCAGTATAAAAAAGCTGCGATACCACATATGGTAACATCATGCCAATTTTACACTGATGTCAGCATCAAGTAAATGAATTGCACTGAATCAGACATTAAGTCACTGATTTGGGGTCTGCTGGTTTTCTATGTGTATGTGACATTACTTATGCACCACACCATTAGTTCAGCAGCAGTAAGCCACTGCAGAACATCTGACTGTGCAGTTATTCGAACACATTGACAATATTTTATGGAAAAAAAAAAACAGCAAATAAACAAACTCCTACTTGCAAATTACATAACTCTTCACCTTCCCCTGTCACACACTCACTACTCAAATCACTGCACAGCATGTCTGGGAAATAATCTCAAATCATCGAATGTAAATCGATGACATTTAGATTTAGCAAAGCTTAGCAAAATGACAAGACACAATGTACAAGATGTTTGAACCTGCTCTGCCTCATGGAATTCACCCTGCTGCTCTATGTCAGCTTACTGCTAACACAATGATGACGCACATAAGGAATCAAAGTCTTTCACAATCTAGGTATGCTGATAATCAAAGGTAAAATGTTGACGTCTGTTTGGTAGAATCATTGTATTGTCCTGAACGCATCGTGTGTGGACACAGAGCACTGAAGCTGCTGCTCACACTATGGCCCCTATGTAGACACGGCGTTACATGTTTGAAAAGACCAATAAGTCAGCTCAGTGCTTGACTGGATAATTAACACACTAATGTGCTGATTGTCTGGACATTTGGTGTAAATGTGCCCTAAATTTGGATGGAAAATTGACTATAGAAGGGGTGACTTGTACTCAATTATAGAAATGGGGATAACGGCCCAGAAGTAGTTGTATGAAAACTAGAGCTTGAGAGAAAAGTTCATACCTCGCTTATTACCACAACTAGACAACTGCTGCATGAAGTGGGCACGCCTATCAACAGAAAGTAACCCTTCATTCACTTAGTGAATATGCTATTTAACTTGATCAAATGTGGTTCTCACCTGTGGTCCCGGAGATGGTCCTGTCTTCTAAAGGCCTTGTGGCAGATATCACAGGTATATGGCCTCTCGTCCGTGTGCGTCCTCTCGTGGATCAAAAGGTTGTAGGATTTGGTGAAATGGCGGCCACAGAACTTGCAGACAAACTCTTTCTTGGTCTTGGAGGGCAGTCGGCCTCTGCTGGACTTGCGCTCTGGTGAGGAGAGTTTGGTAACATCCAGCAGGCATCCAAGGCTGGCTGAAGTCTGGTGGTGAGATGAAGCCTGTGCTGCTGCGGCGGCGGCACCCGTCACGCTCAGGTCTTCGGCCTTCAAATGATCCTCCTGGGTGGCTGCAGCTGCCAGGTTGGCAAAGTCAAAGCGGGGCTTGTTCTTGGAGCTCTGCAGCAGTCCTGCTGAGTCATGCTTATACTGCAGGAGGTGAGGGAACATGGGGAGGGAGGCCATGGAGGAGAACTGGGCAGGCAGCTTGGAGATGGTGCAGCGGGGCAGGGCCAAAGGTGGGTAGCCGAGGGTCCACTGGTGGAGGTGGATGGCGTGCAGGGCACTGAAGCTGTAGATACTGTGAAAATGATCTGCTGGCAACTGGAGGCCTGTAGAGCTCTGGAGGAGGGCGTAGTTAGCCAGCTGGAGGGACGGGTGGAGAGGGACTGGTGCTGGCAGAGTCTTGCTGCCCATGGCTGCTACGTGGAATCCAACAGGTCTTCTGGTAGAGACAGAAAACATTGGCAGATGAAATTATGCAAATTTTGAGCCAAGTCACATTTAATTATTCTAATACTTTCTTTGGTCAATTCAATGAAGAGAGCAATTAAGATGACCAGGAGGTCCGATCACTAGTTACTACTGCAAGCCCCCCCCCCCCACACACACACGTAGTGTAACTGCTACTACATTTACACAAGAAACCAGTGAAGTGTGAGAGGAATTAGGCAGGAATTTAGCGCCAGAATAAAATGTTGTCATTGTATTTTTCTGCAAACTGTAGCACTGTATATTCCTTTTCCACATCATCACTTAATCACTGATGGCCTTCATATATTTTGATTTTTAAATGAGTAGCGAGCAGCCACCACAGAATGTTGGGTACAGTAGGTAGCTCATGTTTGTTTAACAGGATCTCTGTTGGAAGGTTGAGAGGTGGCATTTGGTTTGAATGCTTAATGCCGTTATTGAATTCATACAAAGGTCAAATACTTTTAAGTTTGTACCCACTTCCCACCTTACCCACCAAGAACCCTAGTGCTTCCCCAAACCCCTTTCAACAACACACACACACACTTCTGTCAGGAGCCAATAAACATCAAGTCCAGCTCGCAGATAAGGCCTCATTATCAGCTTAATGAGGCTGTGCATGTGAAAGGCCCATGCTGTTGGATCCACACTATACAAAACTCTTAAAAGCTGAGCCATCTGCAAGCACACCTCTCCAAGTCCCTGCATGAAATTTAGAGGCCTCATCCACTATTTACTCCATAAAGGTGAAAGACACCTATTAAAATAATGAAAATGCTCAATAATGCCTCACTAATTCTATTCTCGCTATTCTATACCAAACACTGCAGTTCTATATATGTATTTATTTGGTATAACGGAGTGCATTGAACAAAAATCTAAAGAAAATAATGATCTGTATGGTCCTTTAAAGTTGGTTCTAACAGCACTAACTGGCTCCAGCGCTTTGTGTGAACGGTTTGAAGTCGCAGACGCATTCCAGATAACTAGCGGGCTAAATATCTGGATCTGCCAGGGAGCTACAGCTGAAGAGAGTGGAAAACCTGTAGCCTGCCTGTCCGAGCTATGTGTTGCTTTTGCAATACGGGCTTAAGTTGCTGTTGTTGTTGTTGTGCTGAGGGTGTTGGATGTTTGCATGAATAAACATAGCACATAACACAGAGACTGATCTACGTAGGGCAAACAGGCTGTTACGTGAACGCGCGTGTGCTGACATCATCAGGAAGCATGACTACGCCCGTGTCACTTCTCGCGTGTTTTCCCTCGTCTGGGATCTCGGATGAAGGATCTGGCAGTGTGGGACTCTCTGTCACTGATCGGTCGTGTGAAGACCACGACCACTAACAGACTGATCCCAAGACAGCAAGTTGTTTCGCTGAACGTGTAACGTGAACTTGGCTTTAGGTATCAAACAATGGCGGGGTTTTAGTGGCATGTGTCTGTGAAAGTCAACACGATTGGCAGCATTAACCCACACACACACACACACACACACACAAACACACGTTTCCTGTACCCAGAAACATGCCCGGGGCTGTTCGTGCTGAGCCACAGAATGACAGCGTTCAGACAGAGAAATAGCCGTGAGCTGATTAGCAGGAATAACAATCGACAAAGTATCTTTGTTTGAGGCAGACACACACCTCCACAGGTTACTCCTCCCACATCCTCATGCAGCACACCTGTTCATCCACACCAGCTACGTTTACTCAGATGCTGCATTTCAGTGCAAATTTGAGGTTTGAGTTTAATTTCAGAGAAAAATACGTGATACTTGTACTTTGTACAGTTTTGGATTACTTGTTATTTTTGTTTTAAACTACTCTATAGATTCTAGAGGGCACTTTTTACTCCTTTAAATGTATATGACAGCTACCAAAACATATACTACACCACTATGACTTATTCGCATATTAAACTATATAATAAACTACACAACAGAGTATGAGGTAATTACATTCGTCACCACCTTTCAGTTCTAATTATAGTGATAATATGATATTTGATAACATACCACTTCAGGTAGCCTTCTGCTGCACAACAGGTACTTTAACTTTAAGTACTTTTTTTACTCTGGTATTTGAAATACTTTTACTTCTTCCACCACTGGTCACTACTATAGTTATTTTTCAGATGAAGACTGATAGAAGATTAAAACAACACGAGAAACACCTGCAGGAGAAGATCCGGCACATCTCTCTTTAAAGACATTCTTCTGAAGTGATTTCTCCTAATTGGTTCTTCTTCTGCTTTAACTCCTCTTGTTGTGCCTGTGTTTTACTAATTCACCTCTTGCTTCTCATTATAATATATAATAACTATTTATATGTATCACTATCTTTTAATTTGTCTTACTTTCTATGTCTTTGTAAAGCACTTTGTGACCTGTTTTTGAAAAGGTCTATATAAATAAAGTTATTATTATTATTATTATACTGTATGATAGAGTCAAAAAAGACGTGGTACTGTGGTAGTTGTAGTAAAACCCAGGGTATATGTGACCCAGAAATATTTCTTAATCATACTGTGACAGGGTCATTTTTAAAAAATGAGTACTTTCACTTTGAAGTGACTTTACTGAAGTATATTTTCAAGTGTAAATGTATGTACTTTACTTTAATCTTGAATGGTGTTGCTGTTTCTACTTTAGGACAGGACATATTTACGAACATCTGTAATCAGAACCTGAATAAACACCTTTTTCAAATCACTCGTCACAAGTTCCATAATTGCTGGAATCGGCTATAAGTGTCAGGTTTAGGATTTAATCTCCAGAGAAATTGAATAATGAAACTCTTCATCTCTGGTGGACACACCAGTGGATTCATCAGAACAAAGCCATAATTATTTCAGATCTCAGAGTTCTGAAGGCTGATAACATGTTGACCTGAGCTTAAGAGACAAGTGATATTATGGAAGGCTTTTTATTATTAATTTGAACTATTCAGGGAACCTTCAGGGGAGAACTCTTTTCATATTGATAAAGATGAGTAATTCAAATGATATTGAGAATAATAACTAATATAAATCGTAATAAAAATGTTGGTGATGATAAATATTTAATTTTACAAACAGACAGCAATCAGAGCAGAAATAGTGGGAGGCAGTGTATGATGTAACCTGGTATCTGTCAACATCATCAGGATTTAAGGAGGTTTTTTTTAGTTTCAGAAGAATGCATGGAATTGTAAAAACTCATTAGCAACCATAAGACAATAACTTTCTTATTTCATCACCAGCTGTGTCGTAGAGGAGCGCGCTGCTTCAACAAACATTCATAACCAAATGAGCCAGGTGAGTGTTTTATTGCTTTGAGGTGCTATAACGGACAGAGAGAGTAGAGTTTACACTGTGCAGCTCTCTACACAGATTTTAATAAATGCAGTAAATAAATTAGAGAAGCCTTGACCTCAGACCTGAGGCCGGGCCGCTCATCCAGTAAACTGCAGTGAAGTGGTTGTAATGAGGAGCAGTGGAGCTCAAACAGCCCCCTGTGGTCTGTTCCTTTCTGATCATGACGCAGAAGTAATTGACTTATACTTAGGGGGTCATTAGAGGAGATAAGTGCTGTGCTGCTAAGCGCCTCCTCACCTTTAACCCTTTGATGTCTGCATACCAGGGGCCTCCAGATTCTAACAGCCATGTGGCCCTCTGCTCGGGTCCAGACTGTGAGATACAGCACCTCAGATGGCCCCGTTGTGGAGACTGAGACGCTGCTTCACACCTCCATGTAAACGCGATCAGGCTGGGTGTAGTACACACATCTCCTTCCGCAAATGATCAATGGATGTGAGCTTTTCTTCCCTTACAGAATTGTAATTACAAGCAGGCCGAGTGCTCCGATTTTTGAATTATTATTATTTTGTGACGTGGTGAAGTTAATGTGCTCATTGAAAACATACACAGAGTGGGCGTTTTAAGAGCTGATTCCAGTCATTTGGTGGTCAATACATCACTTCACTTTATGCAGTAAGTTCACTAAAGGATCTCTATTTGTACCACGACGTTGATAAGAACACAGTCACAGGCTCTCTTGAAATATGACAGCTGGGAGTTAGAGGCTGCCTGCCACAGTAAAAAGAAAAAGTTTTCTTTTTCTAAAATAAGTTTATCATTTTTATTTTATTCTAGAAACAGAAGTAGATCGCTGGAAAAGTTTTGAAAAAAGTTGATTTCTACAGGAACAGGTTGAAACGTTCTTACTGCTGTTACCACTACAGACATTCACTTTCTGAAATAATAAGAAGTTTCGCTGTCATGTTCAAAAACACAAATGCATATAAAGCAAATTTACTAAAAAATGAACTTGCACTTTTCTATTTCCATTTGATGTTACTTAATACATGGCTACATTTTACAGTAGAATATTGTCCTTTTTACTGCACTGTGTCAAAGAGCTCACGAGCCTCGGATACGTTTTGTATTAACCCGCTGCTGCTCAGTGTTCCTGTTCAAATCACAGCATTGCACTCCAGCTGCATCCCAATGCCGCTCACACACTGAACACATTAAAACGCTATTTAAACTCTGCAAGGGGCTTTCACGCTTAACGACTAATACTTATGTAAAAATTAGCATTGAGTGGCATAATAACACGACATGACTGGTCCAGTCTGAGCCATGCGTGGCCCCCAGGATCACATCTGCGGAGCGAAGGCCCGTCACACCTGGGTCCGTGTATCAGATCCCGATCCCCACTCAGCGGAGCGGAGGATGACGAGTCAGCGCCTCTACAGCGTCTCTTCTTCACGGGTGTTTATTCACTCTGCGCTAATTGTGCGGCTTCTCTCTGTATAGATCTTTGAGACCCATCAGAGCGGCTCAACCGAATCACAATCTGTATCACAATTCAGACTTCAGTTTGTCAGTAATATGGAGCTCCTGACCTGCTGATGATGATCAAACTATTTGTAATTTTGCTTGCGTGTAAAAAAGGAAGTAATACATGTTTTGATGCTAATTCATAAATTCATAAACATCAGTACTGAGGAAAAACTATTCAGTTTTCATAAAGTTGTTTTTTAAGCGCACATATCACTTTACTAATAATTCATTTAATTAAAAAAAACACGTTTGTTATCATTTGATGTGTAAGGAAAACCAGTGCTGATATTGACAATAATATCAACTTTACTTGAAGAAGTGGATGACAGGCCTACACCTGTTGCACAACCCTCTCTGTAAATCTCCAACTGCTATAAATATGAAGAAAACCTAAGCAATCTGATCTGCGATCACTTTCGTTTCATTTTCCTTTTGAATGCATAAGCAAAGTGAAGACTTACCAATAAAAGTTGTTTTTCTTTTTACGCAGGTCCTGCGAGGGGGGGGGGGGGGGGGGGGGGGGG